TTTAAAATGTGGGGATTATTTTCCATTGTCATCCCAGACAAGAAATTCAAGTTTACATAAAGCCAGCCCTGCTTTGAGTGGAGGCTTGGCATAGCCACACTCAAAGAAATAACAGAGTCCATCAGGAAATTAAAGCATTAGAATCTTTCTGTGCCAGTTGAGAAAATATTAAAGGACAAGTGAATAAAACTTCTGAAAACAAGATTGAGATGATTAAGTTGGTATAGACTTAGAATTTCTTGCACGACACACTAATAAGTCACACCAAGGGTCCTAAGAGTGGTGTGGTCGGAGCAGCTGGCCTGGAAGCTGACCCTGGCTGGCAACATTCAAAGCAAAAAGACAAAGCCCTATCTGAGCAAGGAGGCCCAGAGAGCAGCTGTCAGAGTTCTAAGGAACCACTGTCAGGCACAGGGTGAAGCTAGGGTCCAGGAGGAGCCAGCGAGTTTTGGAGGCCCTCAAAGGATGCTTGAAGATGTGCCCTGCAAACCCAGCATCTGAGAAACAGACCTATAAAATATGTTAAGACAATCCATGCTACAAAATGATGATTTGCCAACCTAATACACCTTTGATGTATTTTCACATTTTTATTTCAAAGAATAATGTTAAATTACATGCAGACTCTCAGGAACCCATCAAAGCAAGGTCCACTTATAATGTAGTTTAAAATAATCTCTGTGTAATTACAGCATAGCTAAATTGTATTTTTTTATTAACAGAAAAATAAGGGAAGAAAGCCTAAGAGGAGTCATGTTTCCATTATAAATCCTTCTTCATTTTTATTGTGTCCACTGAGATAAAGAGCTAGGAATAAAATGTTAACACACTAAAAATAGATTCAGGCAACATCTGGGTTCTCACCAATTCATGTAGGACCTGGTTTCCTGCAAAACAACTTCTGCACATCTGAGATTTGGGGGCTGCAGGAGGTGTTTCCATGTGCGTATGTGATGAACAAGTCCCTTTCTCAGGCTCCAGGCCCCTTGGAGCCAAGCCCCCTCCGTAGGCTACCACAGTCATCACTATTGAAGCTCAGGATTTCCCAGAACCTTCCTGTCCCGCAGCCACACAGTGCCCCAAACAACAGTGAAAACACCTTTTCTTCTTCCTTCTGGTTTCTCTAGAATCCCCAAGGCTGCTAAGTAGTGAAAGTCTTTCTGTGTTTAACATCCACAGCACCCTCTGTACAGGACTCAGAACTCTGTCCACAGGGGCTGGACCAGCAGAGACAGACAGGAGACAAACTGCCTTTACTGCTAGGCCGAGGTGTGCTGGTGGATATTCTCACTTCTCAGACATGCTCTCTCCCTGGAGACTTGTGGCACGCAGGCCCATGGGGTGACAGGGCCCTGATTGTCTGCTATCCACAGCAGGACCCAGCTCAGACTAAAGCTGAGACTCTCCAGTCCTCCTCTCCCCTATATGCCAGCTCCCCAAGCACAACAGCCACATTGAAATAAAACCCATAAAACCCCAAAGGAGCCAGCTAGGGCAAGAGGGCTGGCTTCTTGGGCTGCACCTGAGAAGACACAGCCATTCTCAGAGAAGAATGGCACAACATGAAATATGTTTTAAAAACAAGGAGTTTGTTTAATAAAGACAAAGAAGGCCTAAAAAGCTGATTAGAAATAGAGAAAACGCCAACTCGCTCGAGGCACTACACAGTATTCCTGAACAGCCTCGGCTGAATAGAAAGATGTTCAAATCCTTTCTCCCTTTAACAGGCTCCCCAGCCACATGTTGGCTGTAAAATACAGTATTTTCCATTTGGGATGACTTTGTAGTGCCAGACACTCATAAACGCAGAGACTCTGAGCACTCAGGGTCCTGTACCCATCTCCCTACCCTGGACCCTCACCAGAGGGGTGGCTGGTGAGGATGGTGCTTCTCATGAGCATGCCTTCTCCAAGCACTTGCAATCTTCAGTGTGAGTCCTCACTCTGGCATCCAGTGCACCATTCTGGGGTCCCCATTCCCTCCTATACACCTTGGCCATGTGTGTCTCCTTACTCTGTCACAATGTCCATATGAGGTCAGAGATTGTAACTACAAATTCACACTAGATGTTCAATAAATGATTTATTGGATGAAATAATTGTGTGAATAAAGTAAATTTAGGGGCTGACTTCTTTTTTTATTTAATTTCAGACAAGGTCCTGCTAAATTACTCAAATTGGACTCAAACTCACAATCCTCCTGCCTCAACCTCCCAGAGTGCTGGGGTTACAGGCATGTATCACCACACCCAGCTAGGATTTCACTTCTTTCGTATCTCCTTATTTACCAAGGAGGATCTGTGTGATGATGAAAGATAACTTTAAACCAGCAACGGGAGATGTGAAGAGAATCTTTCAAAGGATGACCTGATGGTGCTGTGAACCTGAGCACAACAGAAGCCAGGCAAGCATCCCAAAAAACTCTACTTTGCAGGCCCCATCTAGTCCAGAAAATGGCCTTCATCTCTTAGAGCAGGATGTGGGAGGTTGTGGTGATGGGAGAGGCAATCAGGAGTGAGGCTGGGATGAGGAATGCTGCAGGCCACGTGCAGAAGCTCCCTCCACTGCTGCTACCACATTTCTCCAAAACTAAGACCAGGTCTTATATTAATTTTTGCTCCAAAAGACACAATGGGGCTTATTTTCAAGGGATGTCTTGTTTTTTCATGTACAACGAGTACTTAAATCGAGTGTTAACTGGAGACTTATGAGACAGGAGTGGCAACAAAAATGATGACAGTTAAGAATGATGGTCCACACAAAAGTGACCAAAAGTCACCAAAAGTTGCAGGAAACATTTCTTTATTTCACATGAATGCGTTAAGTACATCCATTACAACATATGACATACTGAAATATGAAGATTCATATTAGACTCAAGTATGTCCACTAGTTACCAAGTGCACACACTATTTGTACGTTGTATCTGTACTCCGATTGGTCACTCAACAATAAGTCTCAAGTTCATCTGTTTATACAGGCATTTACCTCTCATGCAAAGGCACCTGTGTAAGTATTTACAAATAATTATAATTTACATTATCATTTATTTAAAGTATTACTGTCAACAATATTATTTATAAGGTCAAGGATTTAGCTCAGTGGCTCCACCATCTGCCTCGAAAGCTGAGGACCCAGGTTCAGTCCCTGGTACCAAAAATATATATATATATTTATTTATATTTAATTATATATTAATATTATTATTTTATAAATCAATACATCAGTTGTGTATTACAACAGATAAATTAATCCATTTGGCTGACAGTCTTAACTGTGGCTTATTTGGGGGTAGGGCTTATATTAGGGGCAGGGCTTATATTAGGGGCATCCTAAAAATCATGCAATGCTCATTTTCTGGTTAGATCCTATTTCCAAAGAAATACTATATTCATGAGAACAACGAAAACCCCTAAGAATCTACAAGCCACACCACCAACCCCATTGTGGCAGTGTTTAAATAGCCACAGATTCTTCAACTCTCCTCTCATTGAGAGGAGAGGGAGTGTAAATCCCCGCCCTATCTGGGTGGGTAGATGACTAGACCGTAGCATATAGTGAAAGCAATTCTCAGGAGCTATCTTACATGCTGACACTTGGAGTCCTGAGACACTAAGAAATCCATCTAACCCAAGACCACCATGTTGTGAGGAGGCCAGAACACACAGAGACGCCACGGTGCAGGCACTGACTCGGCACCCATGACTTTCCAGCCTCCTACCCTAGGGCATTATCTAGGCACCCTCAAACTCTGAGTCTTCCCAATTGAGACCCCAGCCACCATGGCCAGAAACAAGTCCCCACTGTGCCTGTGGGATTCTGTGCTACACACTCTACAGGCTAGTAAAATAGTGACTGTTTCAAACCATTAAGCTCTGGGCTAGTTAGAATAGTATATAAGACAGTTGATCCCATTTGGCCCCCAATTTCCCCCTCCCCCCAAAGAAATCCTTTGCCTTTTGAGCTGTTTGCAGGTGGGAGAACAGTCGTCAGTAGATACAGGATTCTTCTGAAGAAAAAGTTAGGTTTTGGTGTCTCTTTACGAAGCTTTACTGAGCCCCCTCTGCCAGGGGGAAGCAAGCCCTTTGCCCTCTCTGATCTGGTCACCCCCTTTTAATGCCCCCAAAGACCTCTGGGATGCTTCACTTCCTTCACTCAGGTCATCCTGCAATGTGCCACCCCTGAGGAAAGAAAAACGTACTGTTTCCAGCAGCCTGTCAACCTCTTCAATGTTTGTCAGCCTTTTGGCCACAGCAAGGGAACTAGATGTTCCTATTCCCCCAAGACAGTCCCAGTTTACGCCCTCACTGCTCAATGGGGACAACAATATATATGCCCTCCTACCTCTCAGTCCTGTTTCTCTATCACTCCATTCCCAGCAGCCTTTAATGAGACGTCTCACTAGGAATCATGAGCAAGCACACAGTCCTCTGTCTCAGGTCAAGTGCAGTGGCCTCCTTACATGCAGCTCATTTTCCTCCTGGCTGGTATCATAATCTACACCTTCTCGTTTGTGCATTATAAGGAGCAAAAAGTGAACAGATGAAGGAAGTGAACAAAGGATGGCCAATGTCCTTTCTAGGCTTTCAGTTTTGTGTGAAAATTCGTAAATACTGGCCTCAATCTAGGGTAGCAAAATCTTGCCCTTTAGAGATTTCTGGTTACCCAGGTTCCAGAGATTGCTCTCTCATTCCATACCTCACCTTTCATTTTCTCGCGTTCTCCATTATGTAACAGAGAGCTGGGACTCTGGACCAAAATGGCCCATTAAAGATGATTTTTATAGTCCTGAGCAACGCCACGGAGCTTTGACACTCCGTGGTGGTATCTACTGATGCGTTTAAGGGAATCTCAACTCGTTTTTGTTTTTTTGCAGTGGCTCCTTATGGGCACTGCTCCGGAGCCTGAACCCTTTAAGGTGAACCCGGGCGGGCGCCTGCGTAGACTCGGGGGCGTGCACGTGGCCGTGCGCCGATTGGTCCCCGAGCTGAGCGCCTCCGCCTCGCATCCCCGCCCCGCCGCGGCTCTGCGCCCTGCGCGTCAACAGCCCTGCTAGCCAGTAGCTGACAGCCGCAGCGCCGCGAGCTCCTCTCCTCCCTGGGAGGCAGGTAAACCCCCTTCTCCGGCCCGGGGTGCGGGAACCCGGGTGCGGCGGGGGAGCCGGGGGCCGAGGCGCGAGGGCGTGGCGGGCCGGGGTCCCCAGAGAACCTGGCCCTTGGGTGCCCGCTCGGCTCGCGCGTGGTGCGTCGCAGGCCCGGCTGGGTGCCCGGCTCCTCGATGACGCCGCTCGGTTTGCCTTTCTGCTTAGAAGAGCCCCTTTTTATTCGGAATGGAGGGTCCGGAGAGCCTCTGGAAGGGTGTTGGTGGTCCCGGGGTGTCTGATCGCTCCCACTCGGGGTCGCGGGTCCGGGGCAGGCGAGGCTGGGGAACCGAGGAGGGCCGCGCGCGGCGCCGCTGGAAAACTCGCGGGGAAGCCGAGGAGGGGTCCGACTCCCCCCCGCGGGCCACTCTCGGAGCCCGCGCGCCACGTCCGGAACCCCTTGGCCAGGCCAGGCGACTCCCCGGGGTCCGGAGCGCCCACCGCCGCCAACAAGCGCCACCCGGGAGGCCGCTCCGCCCGGCATCCTCGGCGAGACCGTCCTGGGTGGCCGCACCCGAGCGCCTTTTGACTCCTCGGGGACCCAGCCGGGGCTCGGGGCGGGGCCTCAGGTCCCTGCGAGCGGAGTCTGGGAAGCCTCCGCTCTCCAGTTCGCTTGGCCGAGGTCGCCGAGCTCCCGGGGATGGGGGTCTTCGGCCTGGCCTTAAGCTCTCGGCCTCGCCCCAGCTGTGACTGCGGACCCCCGTTGCGCTTGTCATATCCGTCATACCTTATGGGGGACAACTCAAGTATCAGGGGCTGCAAAGGAGGAGACCTGGGCCTCCTCCACCTGAGCAGCCGGCGTTTATCAAACAACCAGAGGCAGATTTTTACTGTCCTTTTGATTTTTCTCTTCTTTGTAGCAGCGGTAGAGAAAATTCCACCTCGTAATTCCACCTCCATCACATTCTTCCTCACCATCGCAAAATTACTGCTTTCTCCTTTTCAGCCTCAATCACAACGCAATGCAGTTTCACTCCCTGTGCTATGATTTTGTGGCTGTGTTATTTTCTTGTATTTAGCATACCATGGCTTACTAAGCAGTTACACATGTGCTGAACGTTTGGTATGGTTCCATGTTCCTTACAAAAAAAAACAAGTAGAATAAGATTAAAGATTTATATAATCTAATTATCTGAAAAATGGGAACAAAAATTGAGTAAGAATGAAGGCATTTGGAGGAATTAATGACTTAGATTTGAAAAAGGAAAAAAATCACCAAGGAAAGAAACAATTTTACCTACACAAAGATTGATTTTAGTGGTACTGGGGGTTGAATACAGAGCCTTCCTACTGAGCTATATCCCCAGCCCTTTTTATTTTTTATTTTGAGGTGGGGTCTGGCTAAATTGCCCAAGCTGGCTGCCTCAGCCTCCCAAAGTGCTGGGATTATAGGTGCCCCCTTGGCAGCACTTATACCTAAGTGCTGGGATTACAGGTGTGAGCCACCACGCCCAGATCACTGAAAAGATGTTAATGTGAGAGAATTGTTAGCCTTTCAGGGAACGGGAAAGGGGCAGGGTTAGGGTTAGGGTGAGGATGAAGTGTATATTACTTGTATCTGACTCAAGCTTTTCATGCTTGGGAAAGGAAAATAATAAAAATGACGAGTAAATTACAGGATAAAATGCAAATTAAAGCAGATTTGCAACCCTAACAGCAGCCCCTCCTGGAAAGGTGAAGGAAAGTTGGCATGTCCAGCTGTCTGGGCAGGTCGGAGGGCCTCGTGGTTAGACTGATGGCTCTGTAACCCTTTTGTGACTTTGGACAGTTTACCTAATTTCCTGACTATCCCTCTGTATGAAAAGGAGAAAATGATACCTGCTTCCTGGGTCTGTTGCAAAAATGAACTTTAATCATCTGTGTAAAACTGACCCTTGGTATGAATGCTTTGTTCTGCCTCCTGCTAACACCCCACTGGAGACATTGTGAATCAGTAAAACCTTTTATAAAGCAGGTGGCTGACTCATTAATTGGAGGCTATGACCCAAGAAACCGCTTCTGGGAAGTTACCTGTGATGGAAGAAATAAACAAGGAAAAAAAGAAAAAGCCAAATACAGGCACCTATTCCAAGCAAAATAATCTAAAATTAGAACCAAATGAGAAACAACCTAAAGGTATAACTGCAGGGTAGTTAAGAAAATCATGAGACCTAACTGAAAGGTACATTACATAACCATCAAAACTCATGGTTTTAGAGCCTGTGCTATGTGGAGAAAAACCGACAAGTCAAAATGTGGGTCACTAGAATCTGTGCCTGTTTATTCATACATGAAGGAAGAGCTTAGGAAGTGTTAATAGAAATTATATATGATCATAGTTTTCATTTATATATTGCTCTTACCAATGTTATTTTTAAAATAATGTTATTTTAAAAATAATCCACAAGTTTCAATTTTTAGTCATTTATTTACTTGTTTACAGTGTGGGGATTGGGCCCTGGGTCAAGTTTCCATTTTTAAAATGAATCCCTCTTGGTGACCCCTGTAATCCCAGCACTCTGGGAGCTGAGGCAGGAGGATTGAAAGTTCAAGCCCAGCCTGGGCAATTTATCAACAGTGAGATCCTCTTTCAAAATAAGAAATATAAAAGAGCCTGGGGATGTAGCTCAGTATGATGGCCCTGGGTTCAGTACCAGTACTACAAAAAAAAAAAAAAAATGAACTCAAAGTTTTTTGTTTGTGTTAGAGAAAAAGGGAGCAATAGTTACCATGTTTATGTCTTAGAATAAAATTTTTTAGCTGACCTTGTTTCCTTTGTTAAATCATTTCATTATTTTCTCTTGAGTAGATTTATTAGGTGGTTAGTAATTTTTTTACTAAGTTTTTCTTTATAAGAATCATTTTGAGATTCATTTATCAATTCTGGCTTTTCATTGCTGTTGTTTTGAAGGGCGCCGGAATATATTTCAAAACTGAGTGATTTCAGCCAAGTCAAAGCATTCTGTCTTCCCAGAGGCACCAGGAGAGGTCAGGTGAGTCACAACAGACCGTGCACCCGGGGAATCTCTGGTCCTGAGATGGTTGCAAATCGCCACCTGTTTCCAGAAACAGGAGTCCAGAAAGGCTGTACTCACAGCCCTTGCTCTGGGCCGATTTGGTAATGTGTAACACACTTAGTGCTTCCTCCTTTCTTATAACATCAGCTTGATTTTGCAGAGCAAGGACCACAGCTTGCTGTAGAATTATGCAGAATTGTGTAAGGAAGCAATTATTTTGAAAAAATAACATAATAAAATAACAACAAACATTTCTGCACCAAATTGACAATGACTATGATTCTCAACCAACTAACAAAGCCAAGGTGAAAGGTTTTTCTAAACTGAAGTTTTAACTTACTCTTTCCATTCTCCCTTTCCAGATCTTATTTCTTTTCCAAGGCAACAATATCAGCTGTGAACTGCTGCATATTAAGCATTCAAAACACGTCTGCAGCTAACAAAGGATGGCTACAGCATTATAAACCTTAAATGAATAGCATGTGTAGCAGCTCTTAAAACTGGAAGAGTTTTTGTCCCAACTTGTTAAATAATCCTTTTTGTCCTACTATATTCTGCTTATTGCTGTTATAGTAGTGTGTTAAACAGTCTTTTTTGTCCTACGTATTACGGTATTGTGTGATCATGTCTAGGCAGTGGCCTTTTATGAAAGACAGTAATAAATCTGAAGTCTTAGATTCCTGAGGACCTAGCTGTGAAGCCTGGCCGGGGATACCAATCTCCTGGGAAGCTTTTATTGCCTCAGAAATCCCACTGCTAGACACTCTCAGGCTCAGCTGTGTTGAGTTCTAGCAATGTTGTTTTTAAAAAGTTCCTCAAGTAATTTTGATAATGGACCAGGTTTGAAAGCCTTTGCTCTATTCATTTCAAGGCTGGGCTGCAAGGTACCAGTAAAAAAAATACCTACCCTACTTTTTTCTCAAAAAATTTGCATCCCTTGCATCAAATTCTTTAAGGGTTAATGACTTAAAAAGATGAATATATGACAAATGAGTTCTATTTAGCTCGAGAGAGATAAGAAATTTCCATGAGGTCCCTGTGAGGGGGAATGTTTGATCTTTGCCACTTCCCAGTTGAACTAGCCGAACTTCACATTGTAGTGTGTTGTTCTGAGTATCGTGTTGGCTGTCAGCCCACTGCCTGACTAGGCTGGAAGACTGCTCCTTGAATTTGGATCTCAGCTCCATCATCTTGGGCTGTTGGAACAGGCTCTAACCTGCCCTGACTCTCAGTCCCCATTGATAAATGGGAATGAGATAAATGGAGTAATTTCTGGATCTTTTTGTACCTGCTCTCGTAATTCCAGACCTCTGCCATTCTGCTCTTGCAACCAGTGTCACATGATCTTATTTTACTTTTTGTTTTGTAATGCTTGGCAGACCATGTGCATGCACTCTGAATTTCCATCTCATTCAAAAATATTTTCAGTTCCTTCAGTTATTTTTTAAGTAACTGAAGGATTGAACCCAGGGCCTCATGCATAGTGAGCAAGTGTTATATGATTGAGCTACATCCCTCCTCTAGTCCTTTTAATTTTTAGTATTATTTCATCATGTTTTAATAATTCTCTTTGAATTTTGACAAAATTGTTTTGACTTTAGGATTATTTGAAAATTAATTTGATGTCTTTCAATATTGTTTTCCCAAGCAAAAACTATTCTCTTTTGCCAGTGTTCATTTACATCTCAGCAAAATTTTATAGCTTCCCTCATATAAATCCTGCTGTTTATTTTGAGGTTAAATCCTAGGCATTTTGAATTTTTATTGCCATTACTTTATTGTCACTAAATCTTCCAAATAATTACAGCTGATGTAGGGACTTGCTGATTTTTTTATATGTTGATTTATAAAAGTATCACCTTAATGAGCTCACTTATTTAAGATCTTTTTCGGTGATTTTTCTGGATTTTCCAGAAAGAAAGTCACATCTATCTGAACTTTCAGAACCATCTAAAATAATAACAGCAATAGGCTGCATTATTACCTGGTTCTCAGCATTAATAAGAATGCCTTTCCTCTTCAAATTACCATAGTGTGCAGGCTTTGTGTTTGTGATAGCCCCTCTTGATGATAGAAAGGGGCTGACTCTACCAGTCCTACACAGACTTCCCCTCTCCTGGCCCCTTCGGTGCTGAAGACTGAACCATACCCTATCATTGAGCCACACCTCTCACCACCCATAAATATTTTATTTTATTTTATTTATTTATTTTGTAGTACTGGTGTTTGAAACCAAGGCCTCAGGCATGATAGCCCCACTATAGCACTGAGCTACATCCCCAGCCCATTTTTTTTTTTTTTTTTGGTACTGGCAACCGAACTCGGATCCTTGCGCTTGTAAGGCAGGCCCTGGAACCACTGAGCTAAATCCCCGGCCCCCTACCAGCCCTTTTTATTTTATTTTGAGAGTTGCCCAGGCAACTCTCGAAGAGAACTTGCAGTTCTCTTTGCTCAGCCTCCTGAGTAACTGGTATTACAGGCGCGTGCCACCATGCCCAGCTTCCTATACAGACCTTTAAAGATAGCTTCAGCTTTTAAAAAATCAGAAATTGATGTTAATTTTGATTGAAAACTTTTCAACATCTACAGAAAATCTTGGATTTTTCCCTCCTTAACCTATTAATAGATTCCATGATTGTTGAGCCAATTTTTAGTTCATAAAATAACCCTTACAAGTCACAGTATATTCCTCTTTAGCTGAAATATTAAAATTGGTTGGATGGTATTGTCTTTTGGGTGTGCCCACCCTGTTGCTGGAGGCTGGGCAGCGGGGTGGCTGAGTGCTAGCCTTCACACAGGGGTTCAGATCGTGACCCTTTATCCATTGCCTGTAAACATTAAATCTCAACTGAAGATATCCAAATGTTCGGCTCCACTGAACTCCAGACTCATACAACAATTGCCTATACTAATACTCCCACTTGAGTATCTCATAGATATGGCAGAGTCTTTGTGCCCAAACTGAAACTCTTGTTTTTGTTGCCCACTCACAATCCCCACCAGTTTCTGCTATTTCAGAGATGGTGTCCATCTATCTGCTTGGTTATGAAAGCCACAAGCTCTCATTTCTCAGTCTATCAGCAAGTCTGATTGGCTGTCTGCAAAATACATCTCATTTATTCACAGCACATTGGCCATGTCTACACCACCCCAGGACATGCTGCCTCTTCCTTCAAACTGATCTCTCCATTCCCTTTCTTGCCTCACAGCATTTTCTGCTTTGCATTATGATTAGGATGAGCTTTTGAAAAGGCAATCCTTTTCTGTTATTGTCTTTCTAAGATTCTTAACCACTTTTCCAATCTAGCAGTCTATTTGCCCTCTATCTCATTTAGCTCCAGACACTTGATAACCTTTCAGTCCTTGAACCCACCAAGCTAAATATTTTACTCACCTTTGTGAACTCAGCCCCTAGCACAATGCTGGAACCTTAGATGACATTTAAAATATGTATGAAACTGGGCCGGGGATTTAGCTCAGTGGTTCCGGTGCCTGCCTTGAAAGTGCAAGGTCCCAAGTTCAATCCCCAGTACCAAAAAAAAAAAGCCATCATATTTAAAAAAAAAAAATATGTGTGAAACTAATTGGATTGCTTTGTTTTCTGTTGCTATCACAAAATATTTGAGGCTGGGTGACTTTATAAAGAGAAGTTTGGTTAGCTCACAGTTCTGGAGGTTTGAGGGCGTGGGGCCAACATTAGCTTGGCCTTGGCAAAGGCCTCGTGCTGGATTGTACCACAGTGGTAAAAATCCATGTAAGAACGAGAGATTATATCACCAGACAGGAAGCCAAAAAGTGATGCAAGGCTGAGCTCGCTCTTATAACAACTCACTGTCCAGAGAATTAACTCACTCCCATGAGAACTGCCCTAATTCCTACTGGGGCAACATCTCCAGTGATGCTTCAAATAATCTTGATTTTATTTACAGGTTGACATTTTTCTGGGTTTTATTTATGAAATTCTATTTTTATCTCTATTCTTTCTTATTACTTTGACAGTTCATTATGAATTTTTCCCCTTCTGGTTTTTTGTTTTGTTTGAGTTGAACAGTCGTTTGGTTTATTCTCATGCTGTGTGCTGAGTTGTACTCCACCTGCTCCTCGAGAACTCCGTGGCTCCTTATATCCCCATACCCTTGCTCTCTTGCCATCATCCGACTTCTTTTTTTTTCCGGCCTGATGTGATATATCATTTTTGTCTCATTTATCAGACTCTTAATGATTCTGAATATCTTTCTCTATCTTTTTGAGTTTCTAATTATCAGTTTGTATTCTTTGGCCATTAGTCCAGTGGAATTACTGTTTCTTATTTCTATGCAAGAATTCCTTGTAGATTCTCCTCTGTTGGTTTTAAAGTCTACAAATACTTTTTACTTCTGTGTCTACTTTCTTTTAACTTTGTTGGTAGTGTTCCTCATAGTGTTGAACAAGAATTCTTAATTTTTATGCAATCAGACTCATGAATTATTTGCCTTTGGGTTTGTGCTTTTTTGTCTAGAAAGTCCTTTCCTCACTCCTCCTTCAAGTCACAAAGACATGTGCTTATGTTTTCTCCCTCTAACACCATACTTTTACCTTTTGCATTTAGATCATTGATCATCTACTCTTTTTTCTTTTTCTTTCTTTCTTTCTTTCTTTTTTTTTTTTTACCAGTACTGGAAAGTGAACCCAGGGCTCTACATTGAGCTACACCCTACAGACCTTTTTAATCTTATTTTGGGATAAGATCTCACTAAGTCATCCAGGCTGGCCTCAAACTCATGATCCACCTGTCTCAGCCTGCCAGGTAGCTGGGATTACAAGTATGCACTGACCCACCCAGCTAGAGTCTACTTTTGCATGTGGTGTTAAGAAGCGATTTTATTTTTATTTATTTTTATTTTACTCCAGTTTTCCAGCAGGATCAAACCTCCTCCACTGATTTGTGGTGCCTGCTTTATCAAACATCAAGTCCCTGTTGACGTGTACACACCTGC